ATATATATATATACATTGTTGTTGTTATTTTTAAATGCCATCAAGTTAGTTCTGACTAATAGCGACACTGTATAGGGGTTTCCAAGGCATGGCTGGTGATTTTGAATCAACAACTTTGCGGTTAAAGCACTGACCTTGTGGTTCAAATCAACATTTCAGTCCAGTGCTTATTCTACAGTGCCAACCAGGACCTATCTATATATGTGTGTGTGTTGTTGTTGTTTGGTGCCTTCAAGTCAGTTCTGATTCATAGCGACCTTGCATACAACAGAACTAAACACTGCCCAGTGCTGTACCAATCTCACAATCATTGCTACGCTTGAAGACATTGCTTCTGCCACTGTGCCAATCCATCTCATTGGGGAGGGGGGGTCTTCCTCTTTTTCGCTGACCCTCCACTTTACCAAGCATGACGTCGTTCTCCAGTTACTAATCCCTAATGATATGGCCAAAGTTTGAGAGAAAAAGTCCCGCTATTCTGACTTCTAAGGAGCATTCTAGCTGTACTTCTTCCAACACAGATTTATTTGTTTTTCTGGCAGTCCATGGTACTTTTAACATTTTCCTCAATACCATAACTCAGATGCATCAATTCTTCCTTATTTATTGTCCAATTTTCACATGCATATGAGGCTATTGATAATTCCATTGTTTGGGTCAGGCACACCTTAGTCCTCAAACTGACATTTTGCTCTTGAACACTTTGTTGTTGTTAAGTGCCATCAAGTCAGTTCCAACTCATAGCGACCCTGTATAGGGTTTCCAAGGAGTGTCTGGTGAGCTTGATTCGCCAACCTTGTGGTTCAAACCGACCTTGCAGTCCAATGCATTAACCCATAGTATCACACCAGAACTCCTTGAACACTTTAAAGAGGTCTGATGTATCAGATTTGTCTGATACAATATGTCGTTTGATTTCTTGACTGCTGATGATTGATTTCTTGAGTGTTGATGGTTGATCCCAGCAAAATGAAATCTTTGACAACTTCAATCTTTTCTCCATTTACCTTGATGCATTTATTGCTAGAGTGGTGAGGATTTTTCTTTACTTTGCATTGAGGTGCAACCCCTGCCAAAAGCTGTGGTCTTTGATCTTCATCAGTAAGTGTTTTTAAGTCCTCTTTGCTTTCAGCAGGCAAGGTTGCTTCATCTGCATATCTGAGGTTGTTAATGGGTCTTCATCCAAACCTGAGGCCACTTTCTTCTTCATAGAACCCAGCTTCTCAGATTATTTGTTCAGCATACAAACTGAGTAAGTATGGATGATAAATATGACCCTGGCACACACCTTTCCTGGTTCTAAGCCATTTAGTGTCCCCTTGTACTGTTCAAACAACTGCCTCTTGGCCTATGTATAGGTAGGTTCCTTGTGGGCACAATTAAGTGTTCTGGAATGCTCATACTTTGCAATATTGTCCATAGCTTGTCACAATGCACATAATCTAAAGTCTTGCGTAGTCAATAAAGCACAGGTAAACACATCCTTCTTGTATTCTCTGCTTACATCCAAGATCCATCTGACCTCAGCAGTGATATCCCTTATTCCATGTCCTTATCTGAATCTGGCCTAAACCTCTGGCAGCTTTCTGCCAATGTACTGCTATAGTCATTTTTAAATTATCTTTAGCTAAAATTTTTTTACATGTGATGTTAATGATATTGTCCAATGATTTCCGAATTCCATTGGGTCATCTCTCTTTAAAATGGGCACACATATGAATCTCTTCTAATCATTCTGCTAGGTAGTTGTGTCTTCCAAATTTCTTGGCATTGATGAATGAATGTTTACAGGGCAGCCTCAATTTGTTGAAAGATTTCAATTTGTATTTTATCAGTTCTTAGAGCCTAGGTCTTTGTCAATGCCTTCGGTGCACTTAGGAGGCTACCTCTTGAAATGAACATCAAACATTTCTTTTTGGTACAGTGACTCTGTATCCCTTCCACCTTATTTTGATACTTTCTGCATCATTCAATATTTTGTCCATTGAATCCTTCAATATTTCAAGTCAAGGCTTGATTTTTTTCAATTCTTCCAGCTTGAGAAATGCTGAGCACATTCTTCCCTTTTGGTTTTACAGCTCGAGGTTTTTGCACATTTCATTATAATACTTCACTTTGTCTTCTTGAGCTGCCCTTTGAAATTTTCTGTTCAGTTCTTTTGCCTCCTCACTTCTTCCATTTGTTTTAGCATCTGTATGTTGGAGAACAAGTTTCAGAGTCTTCTGACACTTATTTTGGTATTTTCTTTCTTTCTTGTCATCCTAATGATGGTTTGCTTTCTGCCTGTATGATGTTTTTGATGTCACTCCACAACTCTTCGGGTCTTTGGTAATTGTAGTTGTTGTTGTTAGGTGCCATCAAGTTGGTACCGACTCATAGCGACCTTATGCACAGTAGAAGGAAACACTGCCTGATCATGGGTCAACCTCACAATGGTTGCCATGTTTGAGCCCATTGATGCTACCACTCTACCAATCCATCTCACTGGGGGGGGAGGCGGTCTTCCTCTTTTTTTCTGACCCTCCATGTTACCAAACATGATATCCTTCTCCAGTGACTGGTTCCCTCCTGACAATATGTCCGAAGTATGAGAGACGAAGTTTGGCCATCCTGGCCTCTAAGGAGCACTCTGGCCGCACTTCTTTTGGTAGCCCATGGCACTTTTAATATTTTCCTGCAACACCATAACTCAAAAGCATCAACTGGTGGCTAATTATTAAATCTGATCTTTAGAAGATCTCTAAATTCAGTTGAGATATGTTCAAGGTCATATTTTGGCTGTTGTGGACTTGTTTTAATTTTCTGCAGATTCAGCCTGAATTTGCATATGGGCAATTGATAGCCTGTTCCACAGTTGTCCCCTACCTTTGTTTTGGCTGATGATACGGAGTTTTTTCTATCATTTCCTTCCACAGATGTAGTCAATTTGATTTCTGTGTATTCCATCTAGCGAGGTCCATGTGTATAGTTGTCTTTTATGTTGCTTTAGAAAGATATTTGCAATCAAGAAATAATCTGCCTTGTGAAATTCTATCATGTGATCTCCAGCATTGCTTCTGTCACCAAGGCCACAGTTTTCAACTACTGGTCCTTCTTTGTTTCTAATCTTTGCATTCCAACCACCAATAATTAACAATGCCTCTTGATTGCATATTTAATCAATTTTAGACTGAAGACGTTAGTAGAATTCTTCAGTTTCATCATCCTTGGCTTTAGTGGTTGGTGAGTACATTTGAATAATTGTTGTATTAACTGGTCTTCCTTGTAGGCCTATGGATATTGCGCAATCACTGGCAGCGTTACACTTAACGATAGACCTTGAAATGTTCTTTTTGATGACAAATGTGATCCATTCTTCTTCAATTTGTCATTCTTAGCATAGTCAATTCCTGTTGTGGCACTGAAGGATAAAACCTGGACCACAAGGGTAATTTGAATCACAAGATGGCAGTTCAAACCCACAAGTCGCTCCTTAAAAACCCTATACAGGGTCGCTATGAGTCTGAACTGACTTGACCACACTTACCAATAACAACAAGCAAGCATATATATTTCTATGTGTGTGTATAAGATATATGTGTATGTGTATATATGTATGTGTGTATGTAATGGTCTTATATGTTGTTGCTGTTTAATGTCATGTCGGTTTCAATTCATAGCGACCTTGTATAGGCTTTCTGAGATGTGGTTGGTGAATTTGTGGTTCAAATCAACTTTGTGATCCAATGCTTATCCTACAGCACCATTCCTGGACTCCAATGGTTTTATATAGAAAGGATGTAAATGGCCATATCATAAAACCATATTTGCTATTACAACAACACCCAAAATTTAAAAAAGAGAGAGAGAGATATTGCTGGAGCTGCTTATATGCAACCAAATGCCTTATGGCATTTCATTTCTTGAGGGTTTAGGATCATGCTTTCACAGGAAACTCCAGTAAATTGACCTAATAATGTGCTTAGTGCTTCTACCCTTGTTCATTGTGTAGCATCTGGGGTCTAAAACCTGTCAGGCACCCTCTATTTTCTAATATAACAAATTAATAAGTGTAAAATATTTTAAACTGAGTGATTGAAGAGAGAATGCATTGGGTTAGGCAGCAAAAATATGTCTTAATAGGAATTTCCAAATTAAATTTTGTTCCACAGTTTGCCATAAATTACATTCATGAAACTGAGCCACATACTTTTACTTGATACATTACCTTGTCTGACTTGTCATCCTGAATTCAAGTTTAGCTTCCTTAAATAAACCAATCCCTTCAATGTTAATGATATCGTCCACGTCAGGGTCTGTAGCAAACAATGTCAAGGGAAACCTCCAGATTCCATCTCTTGCACACTCTACTTTCAGTACAACTTGAGACCTTGAATAGAAAAATATATTTTAAGATATAATCATAGGCAAACAAGCAAAGAAAATACTAACAATAAATCAACATCTAATTTGAACATTTTAGGTACACTTTGTGGTTTCATCTAAATCAGTGAGACTTTGAATTCTCAAAACAAGATTGATCATCGTTAATTACATTTCAGGAATCACTTTTAGGTCATAGTTTATATTATCATTCTCTCCTTGGAGTAGCTATTTTGTATGGCATCTTATCTACTATCCTATTTACTAATAACCAATAGCAGTTACAAAGTACAACTTGCAAATCTTTTGTAAACATAAAATATCATAGCATTTAATAACCTACTGTAGGTTTGGTAAATGGACTAAGTTTTAGGTTAATAAGCAATTTATCTAGGGATTTTCTGTTTGAAATGAAACGTTGTAAGAGAGCCTTTTCAATTCTCAGTTCACTAAAAATATCATTTCCTAAGCATCTACAAAATCCCAACAAAACTGACAGAAATTGAAACTTTAAAAATTTTAAATTACAATTACTAATGACCACAACTTACAGAATGACACTGAGTGGACAGTGAGTTAAAAAGGATAATTAGTAGAGACAGCCTTTCAAAACATTTGGCTGAGAAGAAGAGGAGAGAGATAAGACAGTATTTGGAGTTGAGAAACAGCTATTGGTTTGTAGGTTTAGAGTAGATACGACTCAAATATGTAATGGTGCTGTTGTAATATTATAAGTCAGAGTTGGATAAATAAATCACAAACCTCTTACAGAAAGACTATTTCTAGTCTCCAGGCAGAAAAGTAAAATTAGCCCATCATACCAGGAGCAATGGATAATAATCCAAATCTGAAAGCTACATATTCCAACCCAGCAATTTCACTATTAGTAATTTCCCCTACTCAAAAATGATTACAAAAGTACATGGACAGGGAACTGCCAGAAATCCAAACTGGATTAAGAAGAGAATGAGAAATGAGAGATACCATTAGTGATGTTAGATAGATCTTAGCTCATCATTGCTAATGTCAGACAGATCTTGGTTGAAAGCAGAAAAAAAAAAAAATGTTGACTTGTGTGTTTCATTAACTATGCAAAGACATTTGACTGTGTGGATTATAACAAGTTATTTATAGCATTAAGAAGAATGTGAATACTAGAACATTTCATTGTGCATACGTGGAAATTGGTCATAGACTAAGAGGCAGTTACTTCAAATAGACCAAAGGATATTGCGTAGTTTAAAATTAGGAAAGGTGTACATCAGGGCTGTATCTTTACACAATAATTTATTCAACCTGTATGCTGAGCAAATAATCTCAGAAGCTGGACTATATTAAGAACAATGAAGCATTAGTATTGTAGGAAGTCTCATTAAGAACCTGCAATATGCAGATGACACAATCTTGCTTGCTGAAAGCAAAGAGTACTTCAAACACTTTCTGATGCAGTTCAAAGAAAACAAAAATCTTTACAACTGGACCAATAAATAACATCATAATAAATGGATAAAGAAGTTCTGGTGTAGTGATATAGGACAAGCACTGGCCTGCCAACTACAAGGTCAGAGGTTCAAATCCACCAGCTGCTCTTTGGAAACCCTGTACAGGGTTGCTATGAGTCAGAATTGATTCAATAGAACATTACAACAACAGTAAATGGATAAAAGCTTGATGTTGTCAAGGATGTCATTTTACTGGGACCCACAATCAATCTTCATAGAAGTGACAATCAAGAAATCAAATGACATATTGCATTTGACAAATCTGCTGCAAAAGGCCTTTTAAAGTGTTAAAGAGAAAGATGTCACTTTAAGGACTAAAGTGCACCTTACCCAAGCCATAGAATTTCCAATCACTTTATATGCATGCGAGAGCTGGATAATGAATAAGAAAGATCAAAGAAGAATTGATGCATTTGAGTTATGGTGTTGGTGAAAAATACTAAATATACTATCTTGGAAGAAGTACGGACAGAACACTCCTTAGAGGAAAGGATGGTGAGAATTTGTCTCACATACTTTGGACCTGGTATCAGGAGGGACCAGTCACTGGAGAAGTTGAAAAGTGGAGAGTCAGAGAAAAAGGGGAAGCCCCTCAGTGAGATGGACTGACACAGTGCCTTCAACAACAGGCAAAAACATAGCAGTGACTGTTAGATGGTAAAGGACGAGACAGTGTTTCATTCTGTTGTACATAGGGTTGTTGTGAGTCAGAACCTACTATATGGCACCTAACAACAATAACAATTTCTCCTAGAGATGTGTTTCTATGATTTCAAGAAGTGATGCGTATAAGTGTGTTCATTTCTGTTTGACTTCATTGTACTATCAAAAAATTGGAAACAAAAAATTTTAAATGTAAAATATAATTTGTAGTATGTAAAAGAACATCACACATCACTCACATAAATTTGTGGATCACGTACATAAGTTGTCCTAAACAATTTCCCAAATATTCACTAAGAAGCTCTAAATGCACAAAAGTTTGAGTTAAAAACTAACACTGGTTCTACCCATATTCAGCAATTTTGGCCCACTAGTCCCCTTTAGTTGATGCTGGCAATTTACATACCACTAAATTAACATAATACAAAGCTAAATGTGAACATTACTAAAAATAAACATAGAAAATTATGAAAATTGAAGGAAAGGCAAATGCGGGTAATGTCAACGTTGATAATTTATTTTGCTCCTGTAACGTGATTTTGTTGCTGATTTCTGAAGATTTCTGGTGGCTTTCACTTATTGGTCTATAAATTCGTAGATACTTTAATTATATTTGGCTACACCAAATGCACAGCCAAAATATAGAAATTATTTTAAAATCATAACTAATCTCAATTGTTTTTTCAATGCTTATTACATGACTTACTATACTTTATATGTTGTGCTTCTGATCAGTATCTTTGCATTAAGATGCAAAAAAAACCCCTATTTCACATAATGTGGTATATAGTATTTGGAGATGCTAAGTAAATCAGTTGCCTAAAAACTAAATAAAAAGACACTGAATGAGATTTCCCAGAGGAAATACATCCAAAATCTGTCTTGTAATTCTCAGATTCCAGTGTGATCCACTTACATTTTATTAGGTGGTGTACAATATCACAGTGTTCAGTAGTAGGTGGAAGGATAATGAAAGAAGTTGCAATGTAGAACATGCACTTTCATTATTTGAATTGGTTCTGAGAAGTTGCATCAAGAATCATGTTGCCAATTAACAGCACTTTTTTGGGGAAAAATTCTACCAATTCAATTATTTTCATTCTTTAATAGGATACCCTAATGACCCTAGGGAAATCACAATCACTGAGGGACATGTTAAATTTCAAAAAATTTGGATTTTTTTTTCTCATGTGAATATTTTTCATCATTTGGTAGCTAGAAATAATGTTGCCCAAATTATTTACCTTAAAAATATAAAAAAAAAAATACAATCATAATATAGAAAGATAGAAAAAAGAATCAAACTTAATAGGTTTAAAAAGGCAGTTATATTATTTAAAGAAAAAAAGGGAGGGAGTAGATTTACCTCAGAGGTTTCATCGGTGTAAATACCAAATTGAATATCATTGTTATTGTTTGAGTACGTATCTGACAAGTTGTTTTAATCAAATATAAAGCCAGAGCGGATTCCAAGTTATCTCTCATAACTTCTGATTCAAATTCAATCTCGTACTGAAACTCACGCATTCCTTCTAGAAAAATCAAATTTTAAAATATTTTCAATTTAACTAAAAATTACAGATCGAACATCAATTATATTGATGCTAATTACACACAGATATTTAGAGGAAGGAAGAGGGTATATGTTATTTAGCTTTATGTTCATAATACCAAGTGCATTACCGAGTACCTAATTGATTGGTTGCACTGTGGGTTAACATGCAGGACTGCAAGGTTGGTTTGAACTGCAAAGTTGGTGGTTCAAGCTCACTAGTTGCTCCTTGGAAACCCTATACAGGGTCTCTAAGCGTTGGAACCAACTCAATGACACTTAATAACAATGGGTTGGTTGTAGAGCAGTCGGTGGGTTTGAACCACTGCCCTTTAGGTTAGCAGTCCAGTGCTTATCCTACAGTACCACATTAGGACTCCAGATATATAGTAGTTCACAATACATTTTTGTTAAAGGATAAATAGATGAATGAATATTAAAACACATACACACAGAAAACAATTCCTATCACCCTGGACTCTGAAAAATTAAGATTTAGGAAATGAAAAAAGCCTAATTGAAATATATAATCAATATTTACTATGAAATATGAATACTATGACCTATACGAAAGAGTTTCAAGAAGTTCATGGAAAAATTCCACTACATTTTAATTCCATTTTTCCACAAACTTTTGAAGTCCTCTGACTAATACATGTATTAAAACTTTCAGAGTTGAAATTGGTAACAAAATAGGCTTAAATTCTAATTTAAATTTCATTTAAATCATATTAAAACAGCAGTTCAATCTGTTAGGGCAGTATTGATAAGTTCTGGTACACAAGGAGGGGCTTCAAAATGTTCGTGGCAAAATTCCATTATCTTTCTATTCCATTTTCCCATGATTTTGATAAAACAGAGTGCTCATCATGTTTCAATCATGGGTTATTATAGCTAAAATGTTGTTGTAAAGTGCCGTTATGTTGTTCCAACTCATAATTAGGCTGTATAGGGTTTCTGAAGACCAATTGGGGGGTTTGAACTGTCAACTTTGTAGTTAGCAGTCCAGTCTGTATCCTAAGGCACCATACCAGGACTCTGTAGCTAATATGCTGTTGCCGTTGTTAAGTGCTGTAGAGTGGGGTCCAACTATAGCAACCCTGTATAGGGTTTCTGAGGACCAATTGATGAGCTTGAACCACCAACATTGTGGTTCAAACCAGTCTTGCGGTCCAGTGCTTATCCTGTGGTGCCATAACGTATTTTCTTACTCAGTAGAGGGAAATTATAGCAGAGTTGTATTCATTGCACATGAAAAATATCTTAAACTCAAGATTGACATGTAGAAGACAGATACCAAATTCCAAAATCAAGCCCATTGTCATCAAGTCCATTTTGACTGAAAGATACAGCATGCAAGGAGCCCAAACAGCAAATCGAGACATTGCTGTGGATCCCAGACATAAGGGTCAAGAAGCATGGCTTCAACTCGGCCCCCAAATTCCAAAGTCTGTCTCTAGCATAGGAGCTTCGGTGGCATAGAGGGGTACATGTTGGGCTGTTTACCAAAAAGTCAGCAGTTCAAATCCATGAGAAAAGAGAAGGCTCTCTATTTCCATAAAAATGTACAGCCTTGGAAATCCTACACAGGGTCAACTATATAAGAGGGGATCAACTTGGGAATGGCTTTGGATCTCTAATATATTAAGGTAAAGAACATTCAGATGCCAATCTTTTAATTCAGATCGAATAGTATCTTTCTCAAAGGAGTTCTAACAGAAACCAGACCACCTTTCTGAAGTTGTTGTTGTTAAGTGCTGTTGAGTCAGTTTCAACTCATAGTGACCTTGTATAGGATTTTTGAGAAGCAGCTGGTGGATTTAAACGGTAGACCTTGTGGTTAGCAGTTCAGTGCTTATTCGGAAGAGCTATACCAGAACTCCTTTTAGAAGTTGTTGTTGTTAAGTGCTGTTGAGTTGGTTTTGACTCATAGCGACCTCGTGTAGGGTTTCTGAGGAATGGCTGGCTAATGGGTTTGAAGCACCAACCACGTGGTTAACAGTCCAGGGCTTATCTTATAGGGCCATACCTGAACTTAGTTGTGTCTAATTACTGTTATAAGGACCTCTGGTAGGGTAGTGGTTACGAATCGGGCTGCGAACCTTAAGGTCTAAGGTCAGTGGTTCGAAACTAACAGCCGCTCCACGGGAGAAAGATGAGGCTTTCTACTCCCGTAAAGATTTATACCCTCGGAAACCCTGTACAGGGTCGCTGTGGGTCGGAAGCGACTCGCGGCACTTAACAACAACAAGAATTACTGTTATAGAACTTTGAAAAATAACTTAAGTGTAACAAGCTCAAGTCAGCTTGAATAATTTACTCAATAAACATTATTAATGTAAAATGACTGACACATACCCAATCTGTTTCCAGGAAAACGACATTTAAGAATTTTAGGGTGTTTGGATAGGAGATGAAATTTCCATTATATTCAAATTAAAAGCAAATATGGGGTTTGGTAAAAAGTCAAGATCTACCTTTGTTTCTGCTTAATTTTCAAATCGTTTATGGCAAAGGGGGTGTCAGAATGAGCTACAGATGAGAAGCTAATTATCATTTCATCTGCATTGCATCAGCCATGGGTAAGCATGGTTGTCATAATCCAACTCATAAGAATACCCACTGGTACAAAATAGAGAAGTGAATATCAGCTAAGGGGCAGGCAGTGAGGCAAGTAAGAATCACTTTATATTTTCCAAATACATGTACCCAATTTGGAAGTAAATGGAATATACTGATGCAAGTGCCTAAGGGAAAGGGGCAAAATCAGTTTTCACAAAACTCATGATAAACTGACATTTTACATTGTATGATAAAGTTGATATTAGAGTCTCTGTATTTTATTTTAAAAGTCATATTACCAAGTAAGAGGTTTTTGCTATGTCCCTAAATTGGAGACAGTCTATACATATAGTTCATTATGGACACTGGGTTGGTATGATAGTTAATGATCATCTGATAATTGGATAAAAACATCCTCCTATGTACTGGACTAACCACAAAGTTCAAATTCACCAGCCGCTCCCTGGAAACGATATACAAGGTTGCTATGAGTTGGAACTGACTGGACAGCACTTAATAACAAGGATAAACATAGCTGACAACTTTAAGAAAATAAATACAGCCTGCTAAAAAGACTATTTAAGTAAGTAAAAAGACAAAGTAAACTAGTTTCATTCATAACACACTGCAATTTCAAAGTCACAGATCAACAGTTCTTTGGACTACTGTGCCAAATCTTTCAATATTAGAGGACATCTCTGTCCCTTTTCAGCAAATTCTTAAAAAGACACATGACTTCCTGAAATCAATATTCAGAATAAGTGTGTATTTTATTTCAATTGTGTTTTAAGTTATGTAAATATGTACCAATTGCTTTTTTATATTGAAATATATCTAGCACAAGTGTGTCTTTTCAAAGCATCTGTGTTAGTTTTCATTTATTCACTGAAGATTTTTGTGAACTGCTGACAGTAGCCTCCGCCCTGGATAAACTTTGTTTTGTTATTGTTGTTAGGGTCCTTGGAGTCAGTTCTGACTAATAGTGCTCTTATGCTTAACAGAATGAAACACTGCCCAGTCCTGTGCTAATCTCACAATCATTGCTAAGCTTCAGCCCATTGCAGCTGCCACTGTGCTGATCCAACATGTTGTAGGTCTTCCTCTTTTTCACTGACCCTCCACTTTACCAAACATAATATCCTTCTCCAGGGACTGGTCTCTCCTGATAATATGTACGAAATATGAGCGATGAAGTCTCGCCATTCTCACTTCTAATGAACATTCTGACTTTACTTCTTCCAACACAGATTTGTTTGCTCTTCTAGCATGCCATGGTATTTTTAATATTCTTCTTCAACACCATAACTGAAATGCATCAGTTCTCCTGTGGGCTTCCTTATTCATCGTCCAACTTTCACATGCATATGAGGCTATTGAAAAACACATGGCTTGGGTCAGGTGCACCTTAGCCCTTATTTGCTCTTGAAACCTTTAAAGAGGTCTTGTGTAGCAGATTTACCTAATGCAATATGTCGTTTAATTTTTGAATGTTGTTTCCATGAGTGTTGATAGTGGATCCAAGCAATATGAAGGATTTGACAACTTCAATCTTTTCTCCATTTATCATGATGTTATTTAATTGTTCAGTGGTGTAGATTTTTGTTTTCTTTACATTGAGGTGCAAACCATACTGAAGATTGTGGTGTTTGTTCTTTATCAGTAAATATTTTAAGTCCTCTTTGCTTTCAGCAAGCAAAGTTATATCATCTGCATATCGCAGGTTGTTAATGAGTTTTCCTCCAATCCTGATGCCACATTCTTCTTCATATAACCTAGCTTCTTGGATTATTTTCTCAGCAGACAGACTGAATATGTATGGTGAAAGAATACAATCCTGGCACACACCTTTCCTGATTTTAAACCATTTGGTGTACCCTTGTTCTGTTCTAATGACTATCTGTTGGTTCCTCATGAGCACAATTACGTGTTTTGTAATACTCATTCTTCACAAAGTTGTCTACAGCTTGTCAAGATGCACACAATCGAAAACACTTGCATAGTCATTAAAGCACAGATAAACATCTTTCTAGTATTCTCTGCTTTCAGCCAAGATCCATCTGACATCAGCAATGATATCCCTCGTTCCATGTCCTCATCTGAATCTGGCTTGAACCTCTGGTAGTTTCCTGTCAACGTCTTGAGAAACTTTGTTGTTGTTGTTGTTGTTATGTGCCGTGGAGTTGGTTCCAATTCATAGAGACCCTGCATAGAGTTTCTGAGGCTGTAAATCTTTATGGGAGCAGAAAGTCTCATCTTTCGCCTGTGACAGCTGGTAGTTTCGAACTGCTGACTGTGAGATTAGCACCCCGATTAGTAACCACTACACTACCAGAGCTCCTTTGTAGCTATGGCTAAATTCATGAATGCTGTTGTTGTTAAAGGCCATTAACTCAGTTCAGACTCAGAGCAACCCTGTAT